AGGCAGACTTCACATGATATTTTTTGGTTTATGTTTCAGATATTTTCTCAGCATTTGCAAACTGGGGTAGCTTTTCACTTTCTACACATGCACGGGTAACTGCAGAAAACATCTAGAGATATTCCAACATTATTTAGGCTCATGTGAATTTAACATAATTTATTTACTCAAACCCTAAAGTCATGGCATCACATTTTCATTATTAAACATTTTTGCTTAATGAAGTCACCAGGTGTTGATTCACAACCCCCCACCGCCGCCAAATTCTATGATTTTATATTATGAAGAGCCCTGAGATTATTGGAACCTTCATCTCTGTGTGGGGGCTGTTTCTATGGCAGTGTATGTTTAAGTTGTGAACATTATAAAAGATAAATAAAAACAATCTTTACAATCCCACGGCCCTTAATACCAGGCTGCAGTCCTTTACTCTAACATCCTTAAAAGCCTGACAATATGAAAAACTTGACATGCTGTCACAGAACACAGTAACAGACTGCTCTCACTCATTCCTTGCCATCTAGATAGTGGCTTTAAACAGTCAAACTCAAGTAACTGCGAAGCACAAGGGTGCCCAACAACATCAGTTTTTAGTGATAACCTGAGGCACACCCAACAAACCAAAGAGAAAAACATCCTGATTTATTTCACAAGGACCCCAGAGAGCAAGCTTCATCTAATCAAGGTGAGTCCAGGTAAAGGCTAATAATTACAGTCTGTCAACTGATAGAGGCTGAGTGGAAAGTTGTATCCAGATGGAAAAACAACCATGATCATTTTTGTAGCAAGCCAGTACAATGTTCCACAGCAAGGGGAAAAAATACACTAGCCAAATTTGTTGAGATACATTAAAGTACCACAACGAGCAAGAAAGCCAAACTTGACATAAAATAAAAATAACAACAACAAGAAAAGCTGATTAAAAATGAAAATATGTACCCATGAAACCTAGAATAAAAAGGACATGCCTTGTAAATAAGAGCAGATGAAAAATATAATCAATGAACCAAAGCTGAGATGCAGGATGCTTCAGCCAACTTGGCAGGCAAAGATGTAAACATAGTCTGCTCTCTTTCCAGGTTTCTCATGGGTTTATTATTTTACTCTGATGTTTGGAAGATGAACTCACCTTAGGAAGAAAATCTGCCATCAGAGTTGCTGCTATAGACATGATGCCCTGATGCTCCAAAGACTATTTTCTTCTTTCTCAGTACTTTCTCCCATTTCTTTTTTCACAGAGAATCTAGCTTGATGTGTCAAAACAACCAAAAAGAGTGTCCTAAACAAGTTGATAGTTACCCCCCACCTTTTTTTATTTTTTTTTCCCCTGTTTGTTTCTGCTCTTGTTTCATCTGCAAGGAAACAAGCTTGGATACCCTGCAACAACAGCCCCAATTGATTTCAAATATTTGTTCCTCTTTTTGCATCTCAAATGTAATTTTAACTTGCAAAAATGACAGACTATTAAAAAAGCCTCCCAAAACCCCTCTACAATGGAAAGAAAAGTGTATGAGATGATGTTAGAAATAAAATCTTCATTTCATATGTAAGAATTGAGACAATGAAGCTATTTTTCTTCCTGTTTTAGACAAGGGACTGAAATATTATTATAGAAAGCTTTCAGCAAAGAGATTACAGTAGATAAGGTCTCTGTAATCATCATTAAACAACTTTGCATTGCCCAATGACAAAATTTTGTTTATTTCCTTTAAATGTGTGTCAATTAATTCTATTATAGTTAACAACTAAAAAATATTAACTTCTTCCCTAAATCTTTACTTTATTGAATTACATTGCTCAACATTTTGTTTTAGATCTCTCTCTCTCTCTCTCTCTCTCTCTCTCTATATATATATATATATATATATATGCATGAATAAAGGTTCTGTCTGGTACCTTGGAAGTTCAGTAATGCAGTTCTCAGGTAAGAATTCTCATATGAGAGAACTGATTATATGGACATGAGCAATAGAATCAAACATTTACTGCTTCTAGGGCACTTTTCTTTAGGATGTAGTGATGGCACATTTACATTCATGCCATATGTTTCTACATATTTCATAGTATAAAACACTCCATTAACCCACTATTTACAGCGAGAAGAGAGAAAAGTCACAGGATACAACTGCTGTGGTTGTTTAATGTCTGCTCACAAAGTCATTCTAGTAAATATCACATGCGCCACTTCTGTTAAAAAAATGAAGAGGGTGACGGGAAGGAGGAGAGTGGGTAGTGAAGTCACCTCGTACATTTGACCTTAATGAGGCCGGCTATGAATACACATAATGATTTCTCAAACTGTTTGAAGATGAGCAGCTTGAGGCAAAGGAATTTTACTGGAAAGGAGATAGGCTAAGTACCACTCAAATGGAGCCATTATGCTTGCAGCTATTTGGATCCTGAAATGAGATAAAAGCTGCACCATGGAGGCATAAAGACTTCAGGACCAATAGAAATAATTAAATGACATATCTTCTGGTAAAATACATTATGAAACCTTTCTGTTCTACTTTGCATCAGTAGTCTAAGTGATGAACCACTAGAAAGAGCAGTCTATGATTTTCCTCTCCCCAGCTTAAAGCCTCAAGGAACTACAGGAGTGCTGATCTGCCTCTCCTGATGACATCCCTTACAGCCATTAAGATAAATAATTTGGCCCTTATGATCCCGCTGCATTGTTCCTCTACTTATTCCTCACTCTAAAAATTCTTGCAGGACAAATCTTAAGGTCTTAATAATCTTACTCATCTGACACTTTTCCCCATCCTCCTTGTACCAAACAGAGAAAAAGAGAAACATTAAAAATGGGAAGTAATAAATTTATTTCTTTTGTCTTTTTCAATGGGACTAAAACTAAATCTGTCAGAGAAAAAGGAAACAGGCCTAGAGATTCAGCAATATTAAACAGAGCATGGAATGAAGCTGCAATATACTCAAACTTCGCACAAAAAATTGTGGGATATTAAGATATTCTAACAAATACCTTAAAAGAGCAATTCTTTCTACTACAGCTGCTGCTCTAATGACAATTAAGGAGAAAACCTGAAAGGTCAAACTGGATATTGAGAGAGAAACCCTCCAACTTTGGAAAAAACAGTTTGAATACAGAGTCTAACTTTGTCTTGTGGACCTGCCTCTGAAAGAGAGTAAGACGACAGAGCTTTGAAAGAGTTCCCTGTTGACCTTAGCTACAAAAGAGGCTAAACTGAAAAGCAGTCGAATGGTTAAACATTGTGCCACAACACAGCATTGAGGAATACTTTTTCCATAAGTGTCTTAATTTGAAAAATTCCAACTTTTTACATCTAAATATTTCCAATACTGTTTTTCAAAAAAAAGAAAGGTGAAGTAAAACAAACTTCCTAAAATTTACACAGTTCCTACAGAAACTATTTGGAGAACTGCATAACATGAACAGCAATGCCCTAGATTTTGAAAAGCTATTTTCTTGCATCAGAAATAGATAGTTGGAATGTAACATCTCATCATCTTCATTCCACTATGAGGACATAAAATATAAATGCTTGGTTCCTCTTCACTGTCAGAATACAGCTCTGAGTACAACCTTTATTTGGAGAAGACAAAGACAAAAGAACTGGAAGGAGAAGCTTGGCTATTTCTTTGAAAATAGAGATGTTTGTAGAGGCCATTGACTGCTGCGGGGAGCACATGCAATTACATATTTCTGACTTTGCACTGTTGAATCACCAACACATCTTAGATACCAGAACAATTTTTAGTTACCACAGCAACATCTGTGAAGGGGGGTTCTTGTCATGACAGTTGCCAGCTTACTAAATTAAGACACACTAAATTTGGATATGGATTATGCCCAGAAATATGTCCAGACAGCTGTCTTCTGGACCACAATTTTCTCTCTCTTTTTTTTCTTTTTAATATTGTTTGTCACATTTGAGTATGCTAATGTTTTCTGATTATAGACTGTGTAGGTGAAATGCTGATATAATGATGAAATTATGAATTTGGTGGCTCCATATTTGTGATGCAGTATATTAAAGAGCTAAAGACATAATTTCACAACAAACAATTTCAGTGGCTTTTCAGGATATTGTCCTTGCCCCAGAAGGCTTACAGTCAAGTGAGAGTGATGCTTATTACCCAACATCTTGCTCCAGTAAAACTATACTACATTAATTGTGAAAGTAGTACATAGCTGTTAAACCACCTTGTTTTGCAAAGATTGATATTCACTTTTCCACCTTTGTGGACTTGCTTTTCCAGGGAATGGAACTAGAAAGTCTCACTTCACATTTTCAGTCATTAAGATGTTCTCTACTTGCTAATTTCACCTGAATGAAAGAAGGTGAATTTAAAATGTGCATTAGTATCTTGTGTAGTAATTTAATATAGAGATGCTTGTTTTACATAGTGGAAGAATAGGAACATTTAGATTTGGCTCTCAGACTGGAGAAGAAAATATAATTAAGGATCTTCATCAAAATAAAATATCACTACCTTCCCATATTATTTTTATTCATTTAGTACACTCCACATACCAATCAGTATAGCTAAATTTGTAGGTTACTTAGTTTTAAGTTCACAAAAAAAATTTTTTTCTATTTCCTGCCTGTGGTGGTAAGCTGCCTTCTGCAACACCCCATGAACAACAGATACTACTGAACTCCACTAGGTTATATATCTACAATAGCTTTGGTAAATGGCCATATCTATCAACTTTTCCTGTGTGTATCTTTTAAAATTTTTTTAAATGATGCAACACTTAGGATACGAAGACCTATTAACACTAATAGGTGCAATTCAAAAAGCTTATTAAAGGGAATAACTACTGCCTTGCTCAGTCAATCCTGAATAGTGACTGCAGATTTGGTGATCCCTGACGAAAAGCTCTTGGTAATTATTTTTCTTTTAACAAGAAATATGAAATATGAACAGCCTCTTTCTCCTAACTACATTTAAAAAGGCCCCAAAAAACAAATCCCCCCTTCAACCAACTTAATTAGTAAATAGAATGCAGTTACCTGTCATGTTGCAGTAAACTTTCAAAGGTCCCAGTGCCCCACTGCCATCTGGATCTATCCAGTAGTAATTTGAAGTTTTGCCCAAGTGTTTGTATGCTTCACAAGAGAGTTCATAAATAGCTGAAATGAAATAAAATAGAGCAATAAGAATAGTTGTAACATGGGGGAAAAAATTCTTAGGACAATTAATGGATCCTCTTTATATACAAAGAATTGTACCTCTGACATTAAAGCAATATCATCGAGGTTCACATAAACAAGCATCTTTCCAAAATTACAGAAGTGATTAAAAGCTTGCAGGACATAATTTCTGCTTTTGTAATGTGAGGAAAAGCCAGAATAGGAAGACAATTCTAATGGCTTGGGGAGAGAGAGGAAAATTCGTACTTTTTCAAGGGTATATTTAAACTGTTTTTAACAATGTAGTTCATAACTTTGTTTATATTCTTGTTTAAGTTTCTATTACTTCTATTGATACAACATACTTTTACTCTTAAGCTTTTTTTTCAAGAGATACTAAAAGAGCTTATGAGTTTTCACCCTGTATATTTTTAAATTGTTCGCATTTTATAACAACTCAGAATAATATTGAATTTCAAAATTGTGAAATTTCTCCCTGCCTACAATACCTGTCTCTACACAGCTATGCAACTACTCTATTAAATGCACACAGAAATAATTCTCTGGCCCAGCAAGGTCTGAAATGTCACAGTATTTGCTGGAATAATTAATTGATATAGCAGACAGGTTTGTTTCAGTTTTTCCTTGAATACTGCCTTCTATTTCAAGTAATAAAATTGTTTGTCAAAATGTATAATGAATAGCTCAGACATTATAAGAAGCATTGCAGATAGAACCTTCCCTAGTAATTCCCATATTTTCTTGCAAATGTAGAATTTTTGCAAAATCATGTGCATTAAATATGAAGAAATCATTTTATGCTAAGAAAAACTGACAATTTATAGACATTGTTTGTGTGTATATATGCATAAAAATGGTGAATTACATGGATATTTTCCTATACAATTCTTTAAAAATGAATGTGTAATGCTGTTTGTTTTTAAGGACCAGATGGCACAGCTTTTTTTGTTTGGAATCAATCAATCACCTGCTAAAAGAAATGAAATGTTTGTTTAACCAGACTTCATATCCACTCTAAAAATTCATCTAATTTGTTGGCAATTCTTGCAAGCAATCTCTTTGCTAGGACTGGCTTTATTTCAAATGTCCATAAGGACGAGCTGTTTTTCTGGGCTCTGATGATGATGAGTCTCTGATCACACACGCACATTTAAAGGCCTCTAACCAAATATCAAGACATGGGAAGGAAAGTGCAGTTAAAAAAAAAATCAAATTGTGATGTGGCAGAAATGCAAGGCTAAAGGTTCTTATCTATCTACAATTTCCTTGTGATGCTACAAGCGAGTGAATTTCCTGGAAAGTTTTATGTGCTCATTAGAGGATATAAAGTAAATTTTATACAAGTAGATGACACTTTAATTAAATTGCAAAACATTTCAAGCCATTTCCCCTTTCTCTGCAAACAAAGGTCAACATATTCTTCCATTATCAAGGAGACTCTGTGTCTGTTTTTAGGCACTTCATGCAGAATTCATGCAGAATTCATAATCTATTTTGTTCATAAGTGTTTCCCTCACTTTCTGCACACTGTCTTAAAAATGTCATGAAATACTAACTCCGTCAATGTATAATTGTTGTGACACCAACAGGCAAATTTCAATGGATGCACTCCAGGTCAAGTCAAGGAGAAAAGAAATATTGTTTGTGATGTTAATGAAGTTTTGTGTTTTCATTTTCTAAACTCTTTCAGAAAATCAGGGGAGATTTGTCTCTAGCAACCAGATCTTTATGCAAGGCCATATGATTTTTATCCAAATTTGCTGCCTTTGAAAATGCAAGCCAATTTTTGTACTGAAATACTGCTACAAATCAGAAAACAACATTAAAGAATGTTATATGGAATTCAAATGTTTTTTATAGAAAATTAGGGGTTTAGATATAACATCCTGCTTTCTGTTCTTCTAGAATGGGAGAAATAGAAAGTGGTATGTAGGTATAGTTTTATAGCACAGAAAAGGCTGCTTTTTAATAACTCAGCTTTGTTAAACTTCAACATTATGTTGAACACTAACTAATAAAAATTAAGATTGTTCTTCAAATGAAGGCAAAAGAATGGGATATTTTAAACAAATTCAACTTGTGAAAAGTGTTATGAGTGTGGGATAGTTTTCTGGGAGGTATTATGCATATGTATAGGATCCTAAAATTAAGGTTGGAAAAGACCTTTAAGATCAACATGTCCAACAATCAACCTATCACCACCACCATGTTCACTACTAAACCATGTCCTCAAGGTGCTGAATCTAGAGCTTATGTAGAAGAGTTCCAGGGATGATGACTTCACCACTTCCCTGGCAGTCTGTTCCAATGCTTCAGAACCCTTTCTGTGACTCTGAACCCCTCTGGCACAACTTGAGGCCATTTATGTAGATGCAGAAACATCTTAAAAATGGGTATTAATAAAAATGTAAAGACAGGCAACACTGCAGTGAGCAGAAAGAAAAATCACTTCACAGACACATAGGAACAAAGTGAAGGGACAAGTGAGTTTCACATACTGACAAAATAACGAGTAATTAAAGGTGCAATAGGAACAGCAGTAATGTTCCAGTGTATGAAGACAATTGATGAAGAAAAAGATATTATTGTTGACTTTGGATGGCAAAGGGTAGCCACTTTAAAAGAAAAGAAAAGAAAAAAGAATAAAGAACAACAGCAGCAAGCATCAGGCAGAAGGCAACTCTGAAGCAGAGCAAAGTAAGACATGATACCAAGATGTCGAAGTGGATGATGACATAGAAAGGAAGACAGCACAGGATCATTTTATCAGCCACTACTTGCTTTTGTAAGTGCTACACAAAAAGATCAGTAGTGTGAAAGAAAGAGAACAGGTGAAAATAGAAATTAGGAAACTCAAAGAAAATCTAGAGTAGATGAAAGGACGGACGTTTAAGGAATGCTGTTTTAGAAGTCACCCAAGCATGCTAAAACAGAGAAGAAAATGAACACAGAATACAAGGAAGTGACATGGCAGAATCAAAACTGCTTAAATGAGAAAACTGGTAAAGGTGACAATAAAAAAACCCAAAAGACGTTATTGAGCTGGAAAGACAAGAAAACAAAATGCAAGATTTGGATATAAAGTTTACAGTGTTCACATGCAAATTAGGAGAAATGGTTGCATATATCCACACACAGAGGAGGCAGAGGCAGAGAGGGAAGGGCTTTGTAGTGCTGATTCCATCTGGAAGATAGGAAAGAAAAATAAACAAACAAAAATGTGGGAGAACTGAGGACATAAGGGCAACAGATTTTTCTCTTCAAGCCAGTAGAAGTGAAATGCCAAAAATGTGTATTTGCTTTCTTGGTACCTGGTTCAAATACACAACATATGTAGTCTTAAAGGACTTCAGAATAGCTGTAAACCTCAAAATCTTCCAAGCTGAATGTAAAACTCACATGCACTCTGATGTCCAGAAAAGCTATTTCTAGCACAATAAATCCAGCTGTCAGTTTGTTAGGGTTTTTCAAAGGTCACTTATATTCTTTCTGAGGAGAATAGGGGGAAAAAAACCCCTCCCAACAAACAGATTCTTCACCCTTTACATGCTTTTGCCTTGCATCAAAAATTGTCTACGAGCTGCAGGAGGTGAAAACTTGGTCAGAACAGTGATAGAAGCTCTTAGAATGAGGAAGAAAGTATGTACAAAAAGAATCATAACTAGAAAGAGAAGAGCACCAAAAAATGCAATAGACTTTTTAAAGTTTAATCTCCTGAATAATACAGATCAAACTGAGATCACCAAATCCATTTCATGATAAAATTTGAAAGGGTTTTCTGTGTTCTAACATGAAGATAAAAAGTTTTAATACCATTAAAAAAAATAAAAAAACACTGTATCTTTCTGTGTAAAGCATCAAGCTTCTCTAAGCTTCTTGGTCTAGGCAGAAAACCCAGCCATTTTAATTAGATAACAAATGCAACTATGAATGCATTTTGAAGTTCACCATCAACTAAGCTAACATTAACAACAGTGGATTTAAATGAGCATGGCTTGAGGGCAAAAATATATTTTCTCAGAAAAGCTTGTTTAGGTAACTAGGCTAAGGAGGAACAGCCTAGAGTGAAACAAATACTAATGACAAACCTTGTAGCTGCACAGACTTTAAGAGCATTTTCATTGCTGCCTTTCTTCATGGGTTCTGAACTCCAAAGGGAATGTGGTGATGGATGGGGAAGTCAACATTTATTTCTGAGTTTTCAGGACCCTCTATTTTAAACATTAGAGGAAAAGAAAATAGTTCAGAAAAAAGTTTACAGACTAGTTTTTTTCCAGCTCAAGAATCTTAGTCAAAAGTTAGAAAGAATTGACACCTCTTAGATTTCAGTGGCTCTTAAGTGATTGAGGGAAGCAGATGTTCTCACTCCTGTTTTACTTGCTGACTGGTGTAAAGATCAAGGGATAGTCGTCCTGCACAGGTGGCACAGCTGCTGGCTATCTCCAAAAAGCAGAATAGCCGAATGGCAAAAAGGATTTAGAAACTCTGTGGCCCTATACAATGTTCCCATAAAATTTCATTAGCACCTTGGTGAACTACAGTTTTTCCATCACTCTGGGAAAAGGCAGCTTTAATTTTAGAGATGACAAACAGCCTCCTTTTATAAGTGCAAAGCTCATTATAAATAGATTACCTGGCATGACAGTCTGCACTATGTGGCTCAATGAATGTGTTGCAATATGTTTTGTTTCTGTCAGTGAATGTGGCTGCTGCAGGGAATACATGCCTTTAAACATCTGCTAATATAGGAGTGAATCTCAGCTTTACAGGAACATAGCAAAGGTGTAGATACAGAAAAATGGATGGAATTAAATGACAGCAAAAAGTGACAAAAAAGGGTAAGGCATCAGATCCACAAAGTCCATCTATGTCTCTCCAGGACTTTCAACTTGGAAAAATACTGAAAGCTAAACAGGCTATGAGGTGTTTGGATTTATGTAACTCAAACTGGTTTCAACTCTTGAGCCCTAAAAGCACAA